CCAGCAGCCCACCATACCAAGAAAGTTGTCTTTCCAGATTGTTACACATTTTCGTCAATATCCAAAGTCTACGCTGACGTGGTGTCTTGCATTTAAAGGGTAGGTAAACAAACGGGCCAGGTCCACCCCCAGACCATTTCGCCTGGGGGTCCCTGGAATCTAAAGTATCCACCTCCATCAAACTCAGACTGAGCTGATTGCATACCTTGGTTCTGGTTCACAGCGTTGACTTGACGAGAGTTGAGTGGTCTGTTCTCACGACGGTCTTCAAATCGACGCGGAGACATGTTCCGCCCTTGGAAATTGTCACGTCGAGGTGAAGGTCCTCGTCCTCTCGAAGGATTGTCACGCCACTGCTGCTGCGGAGACGACGGTCCATAGCGACTCAGTCGATCATCACGTTGAGGTGGCGGCTCATAGCGACTCGGTCTCTCGTTACGCCACTGCTGCTGACGCGGTGGAGATCGATAACGCCCTGGATTTCCTCTTGGTTCACACCCTCGCATTGACGGAGAACGGCCTCTTCCTCTTGGTGGAGTTCGTTCTCGATTGAAGAATCGGGGTGGTGAACGACTTCGTCCTCGTCCTTGAATAGGAGGGTCAAAGTGTCCAACATCTTGACTCCAGAGTCCTCTCTCGTACGCACTCTCCAAGTTAGGTCTGCAATCATTGCGCATCCCTGATTCTTGGCGTCTGTTAAACCCGACATCAGGACCTCGACAGCTATCCCCCGGCACAGCCGAACCCCCTTGTGGTTCAGCTTGATTGCGCCATGGCTCAAGTGTAGGCCCTTTCGAGTTACTCGACAGTCCTTGCCCCAAGTAGTAGATGACTGATTCCCACGTAGGCACCAATCCAGCTGTAGACCGATTGCCCTCCCACTGAGTCTGCGCAGTACTCGATACAGTAGGTTGCATGTTTTGCAGTACAGTAGCTTGTACACCCTGTTGAACAGCAGGTTGTCCAGTAGGTTGCACTTCAGGTTGTATCGCAGATTGTATGGCAGTTTGCACAGCTACAGCTGGTGCTTGCAGTGTAGGCAGTGAGGTTGATTGTCGTTGTTGTAGTCCTTGTCCTCCAACTTGTATGTGTTGAACAGGAACTCCAACTTGCAGCTGCAGTCGCTGCGTTGCTTGCGCAACCGACGATTGAGTGCGTTGCGTACTTGCCCGCACCCCTTCAACAACACGACGCTCTCCTCCTTCTTCACTTTCTGCAGGAGACGTTAGTGACCATGCAGGTGATTGCGTAGCCGTAGACGATAGGGCAGCACCATCCGTAAGGTCAATCGCATTCGCATCGCATAGTGATAGGCCAGCAAACAGTCCTTGGCCATCTTCTACCGACGCTACCGCATCCACACGACGTACAGAGTTCACCAGCGACACGGGAGCCCTTAGTTGTCTCTCTTGCAGCTTTCTCGCGAGCTCTGGCTTCAGTTGCTGGCCAGTGAGAGCCGTACACTCGGCATACCAATGTCCTTCTCCTTGACAGTTCGCGCAGTTTGTGCGCTGCTTCTTATCTGCAACGCCCCTTAGATCGCTTGCGCTGTTTGCTTTGTTGCGCTTTGCGTCCTCGGGCTTGACCTTGTCTTTGGTCCGTTCCGACATGAGCAATTTGCATTGAATGCGCGACCGGTTGTCTGGTCTGTGCACGCAGCTGGTCACGCTGGTGTTCAGCAGCGCGTAGTCGTTGTAAAGCTTCAGCCAGTGTAAGTGTCTTACGATCATGGTTGGTAAAGCCAATCGCCGTGTTCACGGGCGAGATCTTTAACCGCTGTACACCGCTGTTCGATAGAAGTAGGCTTGCATGGTGCCACTCCAGCAAACCTCCACAATAAGCCTAGATGGTAGAAAGAGTCACCTTCCTTTGCAATAGCCGTCAGCAATACCTGCGATACTGACTCGTTTTGGCTTGAGCCTGCGCGTCACTAGCTCTTGCAGTAGGGTAATCAGGATTAATACCATCTCCAGCCTCAAAGTGCTGCGTAATCGCATCGTAGAGCATAGCGGCGGGGTCCATGTTGTCGTGGATGTCGTCGATTTTGAACGTCGTACGTAGGTCAACGGACAGCGACAACGCGAGTGGTGAGAATGCCTTGTTCTTGCGCGACTTATACCACACGCGATATTTGTCACGACGCATGCCTTCTACTGCATCGGGAACGCTCAGGGTCATAGGTGATGTCTCCCAGCATCTTCGGCTCGAAGTGCAACGGCACCTCGCTCTTCCAGGCCTTGTAGTCGCCTTTCAGATGTAGCTTGGGCAGCTTGATCGGAGGCGAGTTGATAAGGACCTTGGTGTACTCAGCCAGCTCGCCGTCGTTGTAGCGGCCAGTAGGGTTCATGTTGTCTAGAGGGCGCCACGGATCGTCAGGGTCTCGGTCGCCGTTTTGTTGGTTTAGCGGCGACTGGGGAGGATTGTCAACTGGCACGGATTCTTCCGTGTTCGTCGACGAAAGTTTATGCATACTTTCGAGTAACATTTGGAATAACGGGCGGCCACCCGGGATTCCAGCCAATGAACGAATTAGTCGTTCTGCATCACTGTGCGACAGTGTTGCGTCATTGTTCAAGCTTGAATTTCCTGCCAATGGGGTTGAAGCTTGATCTTGATTGGTCGAAATTCCAGAACTTGTGTCTGGAACGCCAGCAGCCACGTCAGTCGCAGACTGCGCCCTGATTGGGCTCATAACCAGTGGTGACGTAGGGTTCGTCACGGGGGGATTGTTCTCCATGTGTCGATCGCTTCTAAGAGTAGGAGCCATTTAAATGTAAATACACTTAAATGTCAACTTTAGGAAACTAATCAGGAAGTAACGTAAACACGTAAGTGCCGGGCAAAAGGCCGCGACAGGACTGCGGTGTCTGGCGAGGCTGCTCTTCTCTGCTGCTCTCTGATGAGCGGCAGGCGTCAAAACGCAAAGTGTTGAGCAGCCTCCGCCAGAACACCGCTGTACCGCAAAAGTAGATTAGTATACAAATAGCAAATAAGTCAATACTAAACTCTAGATAAATGCACTCTCGTTTGAGTACACCATCTTGGCAGCGCACAGCCAACGATGTCCTTGTGCATACAGTCCTTGGTATAGTCCTTCGCCATTGCACGCATGTGTACTCAGTGTAGCCGGTTGTAGTGCAGCCGCAAGCTGCACTGCCAGGCGCATGAGTGTCCTTGGGATGTGTCTTTGCAGACACTGGCAGTGGACGGTGGCTCGTAGATGGGAGGCACCGGACACTGGCAGACTGCAATGCACTGGCGCTCGACACGCAGGTAAGTTTTATAGCTCACAGTGATCACCTGTCCGGCATGACAACACGTAAGTGTTCGATCCGACAATAGTTTTTGCGCCGCATATTTGCGGATACACGCTGAAGTGATGTCAATTCCAGTTAATGGACAGATATCAGTTCGTAAGCAGAACGAAAGGGTATCCAATGCGATTGCGGAAAGTTTAGAGGCGTTTCGCTTTTTTTAACATGCGTGTGCATGAACATTATGAATTTAATACACGAAAGCATCGATAGGCTTGGTGGCCGTAATGCATTCCGGTCCACTTCACTTGCCGCACACAACATGAAGTGAGCTCAAAAAAGAAAGATACTTTAGTATTATTAATAGCATTAATAACAAAAAAAGCTGCAAGGAATATCATCATTTCAGACTTTGCCCCCAACTTTTTTGTTGCCATTTCAGCGATGTTCGCATGCAGCAGAGCAAGCGGTGCTGGGAGTTTTCAACTAAAAAAGTATTATAGCGCATGTCCTTACCGGTATTCATCCCTCGGCGAGCCTAGCTTGTTTCCAAATTCTACAATAACCTTACTTTTCGCACAAGTTGTGTACTTATTTGTAGGTCTCATATGCTTGAGGAGTCGATATTTGCGTCTTGTCGAGACAACACTTCGTCAAGAAAAAAATGCTCCGTGAGCACAGGCATTGGGATTGCAATCCGTCGAGGCCATCGCTTTCTCGCCTTCTTCGAGGAAACACTTGCGGCGTTGCCATGCGAAAAGCCCATCCCACCTGGGTCGTTGTTCATAACAGCATTTAAGCTTGGTTTCTGTATGTCAACATTTTCTCCATCGTTGATTGGCTGATACCTGTTGCTCAACCCGACGAGCGAGCCAGCACTCACTCCCCCGCACTCAAACGCACAAAGTAAAGCCCGCGTGGTTACAATAGAGCGAGGCAGCAGACCCCCATACAGACGGCTTTCCCCCCTTCCACCTCTCCCGCGTCAAGAAGCCGATGCGCGCTCGGGACATGCCGGCGTCCATGACCACGGAGACTCCTGCCGACGACCAGGAAGACGCGTACTTGGCCCAGCGTCAGTCCACAATGGACTCGGCCACGTTGGACAAATTGTTGATGGCCGAGAAGAACTTGGCACAGGCTGGACAAGCCACTACCAACGTCTGGAAGCTCATTGGTAAACTACCGAGCGAAGAGAGCGAGTCTCCACCGCCTCCTGCGCACCCTACAGGCCTCTCAGCCAGCGTTTCCATGCCCTTACGTCAGAACTCCAGGTCCTCATCCAACCTTTCCGCCTCTCACGGGATTGGTAGTAGTCCTAGACGTCACACCAGGACATCTACGCGACGGAAAATCTCCACACAGGCGTCAGACGACATTGCGGCGGGTAAATTCTTATCCACGGGACCTCCAAGTCCTATTAACGGCAACAAATGGGCGTCAACAGCCCCGTCAGGCTCTAGAGCGGAGCTGACGATTGACACAACAGATACAACCAGCGTAGAAGCCCGAGCGAGTCCTAGATACAACATGGAGATCCCTCGTCCTGAGATGGCCGTGGGACGCAGCTCATTGGGCAATTATGCGCAGAGTAACAGCTTCTACGACCGACCAGGACACTTTGGCGCTCGTGCAACCGACACATTGAGTGACTCGAACAATTATCTAGTGGAGAACGGACGTAGCCGATCCACACACAGTAGCAATGTCTTTGGCTTTAACCGCAACGCGGCGCCCTTGTCCGAGGTGACTCTGTTCACCTTTACAGTCAAGAAGAGTGACAGTGTGCTGGAGAAACTCGGCAGTAAACGCGCCAGTATCCAGCTCCAGGTGGACGCGGACGAGCGGATGCTCTACTTCCTCTCAGCTCATGACCAACGCGAGGAATACAGCTGTGCAGCTGTGACGGCCAAGCCGCAGTCCAGACTGGGTATGCAGCTCAAGATCCAGACGGGAAATGCCAGTGTGAACAAGAAGATCACGTTCTACAGCACCGACGACCGAGCCAACTTCGTCCAGGCGCTGGAACAGGGCAAAGTTATGATCAATAAGAAGACAACGACTGCTGCTACGCCCTCTCGAGCGTCTTCCGAGGCGATTGACGAGACGGCGTCGACAGTTTCCAGCACGTTTGAACGCTCCAAACTCCGAGATTCGATGGTGAGCGACCACTTCCAACTGCTGCCCGGGGAGTCGGTGCTGGAGCATGTTCAGCGTGTTACGAACCTCGTGGTGATGTCCCAGAGCGACCGAGCAGTGCAGGGAGTGCTCAAGATCACGTCGTATCGTATCACATTCGTCCCGTACGACGCGTCGTGGAAGTTTGGCTCGTTTGAGTTGCCTCTGGCTGCTATTGACTTGATTACGCGCGATGGACTGATGCTTCTGATCACGTGCAAGGACCTGAGGACTTTGAGACTCGCCATGCACGACGCGTACTCACGGAAGAAAGGATACGACCAACTTCCGTCCACTCCGGACTTTCGGTGGCTTAACTTGCTCACTCTCCGCATGAAGCCGCCTAATATGATTGGTGCGCTGTTCGCCTTCGACTTTCATACGGAGAAGGCCAAGCAGCGTAGCTGTTCTATCCCGGAGAAGCATAATGGCTGGTTTGTGTACTCACCATTTGCTGAGTATCAACGTTTGGGCTTTTTATCGGCCAAGAAACAGCCGGAAGAGGACGGAGTCATCACGTGGCGGCTTCTCAAGAACTCTAAGTTCCGTTTCAGCCCCACGTACCCTCAGCTTATGGTTGTGCCGTCGCTTATGTCTGAGGAGCAGCTAGTGCAGTCGGCACGCTTTCGATCACGCGCTCGTCTGCCTGTCGTCGTGTGGCGCCACCCTGTGAACAAGAGCGTGTTGTCTCGGTCCAGCCAGCCGAACTACGGCATGGCAGGCAACCGATCCGAACCTGACCGGATACTTCTGCGCGCGTACCGCGACTCAGCCAACAAGAACAGCTCCAACATGTCGCCTCCTCTCCACATTATCGATGCGCGCAAGCCTATCGCCACCAAGGGCAACCGGTTAAAAGGAAAAGGTACGAACTGACCTGCAGTACAGTGCGCTGGGAGACAGCTACTGACATAATGATATCTTTATGGCTGGTATGTGCAGGCGTGGAGAACTCACAGCACTACGACAACGCGACTATTGAATTTATGGGCATCGCCAACATTCACAAGATGCGCGAGTCCTTGGATGCGTTGAAGTGTACGCTAGCTGTCATCTTTGTGCGCGTTCTGTTGATCTTGTGTAGCTGACGTGTGTTATTGCAGCCCTCGTTAGTCCTAGCAGCGTCGAAGATGGCGACAAACATTACCACAATCGTCTCGAGAGTAAGCAGATTCAGTATTTCTACGTGTGATCTGCAAGAAACTGACACTGTGATGTGACACAGACACTCGGTGGCTGAAGCACGTGATGCGAGTACTGTCTGGTGCTCGTAGAGTAGCAGAGGTTCTTCATGAAGACGGTGCGTCGGTACTGGTGCACTGCAGTGACGGCTGGGACCGCACTCCGCAGCTTGTGGCTCTAGCGCAACTTATCTTGGACCCATTCTACCGTTCCATTCGAGGGTTTGCGAGTCTCGTGGAGAAGGAGTGGTGTTCGTTTGGACACAAGTTCGCCGACCGGATTGGCGTGGGCAAAGACATAACTGACCAGCCGAACGAGCGATCCCCAGTGATGCTGCAGTTCTTGGACTGTGTGTGGCAGATGACGCGACAGTTCCCGACGTGCTTCGAGTTCAACGAGAAGTTCCTGATCCACATTTCGGACTCGCTGATCTCCGGACTCTACGGAACGTTCCTGTACAATTCGGAACGTGAGCGTGTGCTGGACAAGGTGTGGGAACGCACAGAGTCGGTCTGGACGCCTGTATTAGAGAACCCTGGACCATACAAGAACCCGTTATACCGACCGACCAACCGGGTGCTGTACCCACGTGCAAACCTGAAGCGTGTGGTGCTCTGGGACGGCATGTTCTTCCGCTGGGACCCGGAAAGTCATCCAGACTACATGGAGTTTATGGATCCAGTGGAGAAGCCTGACGATGACGCGTCAACACATGGCTACGATGAAAACGGCAGTCCTCGAGGCCCCAGTGTGCTTGACCCGCCATCGGTTATGCCCATTGGTGGCGACCTGGAAGACAAGGTCGAACTCGATATCGACGTGATCCACGACTACGACGAGTTCCGGACCAAGACGCTGTCGGACTGCTCGGACATGAGCGACGACGACGACTTTGAGGTCTCCCCCAGTGTGACGGCACGGTACGATGGCTCGTCGACGTTGACGGCTGACGAACTGAACATGACGACGCCAGCAACCAGCGAAGCCGATTCCGAGAGCTCATCGGAGACTCGTGTCCCACTGGACCCAAGCGTGTTGAACCGATATCATCGTGGAGTCGAGGAGCGTACGCGTCAACGCGCTCAGGGTCGGAATATACGGGAAGCGTTGCTGTTGGCGCCAGATCAAAGTCGCATCAAGTACTTGGAGCAGCTACTGAGCGAGAGTGTCGCGCGTGAACTGCAACTTGAAGCAGAACTGGATTCCGTCGTGCACCGACCTGTGCGAGGCACAAATGTGGTCTCGAATGGCACTAATGGCTCTTCTAATGTGGCAGGGGGCAGTGAAAATGGCTCTAGTCACTCCAATCCAGGCGGTCGCAGGCAGTAGAGTTGTGTTCTGGCTGCTACTGGCAAGAGCTGGATTTCGCTTGAGTGTTGCGTGTTTCGGAGCGTTTTTAGTGGCATGTAGGACACGCCACAGCAATAGATTCGTACTCAGTACTCGGTATAATATAGGTAGTCGATGGTTTTTCGCCATTTTTTGTGTGTTTTTGCTCTTTTGACGAAATGAGTGGCGACGAGATGATGGCGGCCATGGGCTTCACGTCGTTTGGCCGAGTTCATCGCGAACGCCGCCGAGTGAAGCAGGTGAAGAGTAAGAGGACGAATGTGTTGCCGCAGTTGATGCCTGGCACGGAGCTGGTGGGCAACAGGGCAGAGTTTGCTGCCGATAGCGTCGAAGAGGGGAGTCATGGTGTGCTGTCTCTTTTGTGTAAGGGCGATGGCAATTGTTCACTTGATGTTGCATTGGGTAAAAATTGCAAGGAAGTTGAAAAGCAACAAAATTACGTGGCAAACTCGCTGTTGCAAGAGCTGCAACTAGAGAAAAATAAATTTAACGAGTTGGAAAGCTCGCAATTCTTCAGTGCTCGTGCTGCCACGAACGCGTTTGAAAAGTTGGGGAAGCATCGATTCTTGAATCGCTCAGCTATGAAACTGGCGACTTTGGATCATATCTTCCAGTGGACTCGCAGCTTCAACCAAAAAGAAACGTTCAGTTTTGCGGATATCTGTGGAGGACCGGGTGGATTCTCCGAGTATCTCTTATGGAGAACAGAGCAAACAAGTGCTGTTCATGGCTACGGCATCACGTTGAAAGACGCAGCGAACAATTGTGACTGGCGTTTACCGTCAAAGTTCCGCGAAATGTTCACGATCTGCTATGGAGAGGACGGAACGGGAGATCTCTACTCGCTTGCAAATATTCGCAACTTCCGTGATATTGTGCGAGGACAACATCCGAATGGTGTGGACTTGGCTGTAGCTGACGGAGGCTTTCTCGACGCTCGCTCGCAATCGAATCAGGTTTGATAGCCTCTGTTGTGATTATTTGCTTGCTGGAAGAATCCTAATCAAGTGGTTTCTGTAGGAATCGATGATGACAAGATTGATATTGGCAGAGGTGCTCGCTATGCTTGGTGTGCTGCGAATGGGTGGGGATTTCGTCTGCAAGACGTTCGAGTTGGCGACGCCTGCTATGCTGGAGCTTTGCTGGATATTGCATCGCTGTTTTCATCACTTCACAGTCGTAAAACCCATCGTACGTAAGCACATTTCTGACATTCATATAAGTAAATTATTAACGTTGTGGATGTAGACTAGTCGCCCTGCTAGCTCGGAGCGATATATTGTTGCGCGAGGACTACGTGCGGGACACCCCACGTCAAAACTTGTCGAGGTTCTAGAAGACCGACTTGTTCGAAGCCACAACAGCACAGCCAAGAACTTCCAACTCCATTTCTTGCGAGAACAAACCCCACTACGCGAAGATGTAAATTTTATTCACTACATGACGACGGTCAACGCGGCTCTAGCCAGAAACCAAATTCAGGCATGCAGACGTATCAACGAGTATGTTGCGAACAAACACAAGAGGAAATCATGGGATGATGACGCTGCTGTTGATCCCCAAGAGTATTGTCAATGCTGGCAGCTTGGCAGGATTCCTCGCCATGGTTGCTAACAAAAACGCAAATGAAATTGTGCAAATGTGTCATCTCTTTCTCATTTCTTAGTCACGTTCTGCAATATCTGCTGGAAGAGATCATTTGCTCCTTCAATCGAATAAACTCCGACACAACTCACGCGCACGCTCTTGTGCAGCATCTTACCCAGTTTCCGTCTAGCGAGAAATGATTTAGCGTTAGGCCAACCATAAAGCGCATCTTCGTACAAGAATCCGCACCTATTCACTGGAGCATGAATGGGGACTTTATGCTCTTTAGCGATCGCCACTAACTCCCGGTATTTTTCTTCTACAGCTTCGCATCCATCCAAGTCTGTCGCAATGATCAACAAAACAATTTTGTTGCATAGTAATCCTCGCCGTACTTCGTGCATTCCAAGCACTAAGCGTCGAGATCGCTTGACGGCTTTGTTCTGAGCATACGCGCGCTCCTACAAAATGTGCAACAATCAGGTAACTGAACCAGGTACTCGTGTTTCATTGCAAATAACTCACCTGCAAAGCTGCAAGTCGTTTCAAGAACAGACCAACAAGAGTTTGAAGCTCGGGTAACTCTGTCAGCTTCATAGTAAACAAACCACCAATGCTGTCAAGCATCTGACACTATAACAATGGGCACATCAATGATCTAGTACCTGAACAATTGGAGTTACGACGCGCTTCATCTCCGTTTTACGAGACCTTGCTGCATCTTCGCCGTCAGAATGACATTTTCCATTTAAATCTTCTAGATGAGCTGCCACGTCACGTCCTCCATAGCGTGACCCATTCATCACTTGCACCACTTTCTCGGCGTCACATTTATCACTAAAACTCACCGTGACTTCACCATCAATCTCATTCAACCACAACTCAGTCACTTCTCCATATTTTGTGAAGATTTGCATCATTTCCTCCTCAACATCAGCCACTTCGTCCGGATCCTCCAGCTCTTCGGGGGTGAGCATTCCATTGATCACCACAGCGACATTATCTTCGTCACTTCGCATTTTCCAAACGCACGTCACCATTTTGCCACCAAACACTTTGTTGTTAAACGCATCAAAAGCCAGCGCTGCGGTTGCCGCGTCTTGAAACGTGGCAGTCACATCCCCCACCAGAAAACCAGTTTTTGCTTTTTTGACAATGACGATTTCTTTCAGCCCAAAGCGTTCAAAATCTGCTCGAACCTCGGCCTCAACCTCCTCGGCTTCATCCTCATCTTCGAGGTCTTCGGCTGTTACCAAACCGCGAACAAGAAATTTGCACCTCTGCAAGGTTTTTCCGTCTTGCAAAATGGCGTTTTTCAATTTTGTTTTGCGTTTGCGTCGTTTGATTTTTGCAGGAGCTGGGGGTGCTGTTTGCGTGACAGCGGTTTGTTGATACAGTGGCAACGGGTTTGATGTCTCTTCCTGACGCTTTTTCCGTCTTCTGCGAGGCCTCTTCACTGCCGATGGAGTTGACGATGTGTTTGTATCAATTGCAGCCTGGACATAGGTGTCAAGCGTCCGTGGAGTTCTTTTTGCTAGGCGCGATTGGTCTGGCATTTTTTGCAAAGATGCCATTTTGGCATTTCTAAGCTGTTTCTGAATATTTCATGCATCTGCTGTGTTATTTTAAGAAAGTTTATGTCAAATCACAAATGCTAAGCTGAAGTGAAGGTAACGGTTTTGCCCCAATTCCCTAGGTGGCATGAGTCTCTCGGGACGACAACAAATTCTGTTGAGTATCTATGGGGCTGCAATGAGAAGAAGAAAAAGTCGTTCAAGAAGCCACAGCGTCCAATTACCAGCCCTGCACTCATCCGACGAGCGAGTAGCGTTCGGCGATCTTCTCCTTTCGTCCATACTGCCAGTAAGGAGCAGCAAAAAGCTGATGAACGAGAAGCGAAGCAAGATATAGAAGACCAATCAGCTTCAGCTGAAGTCCTGTCAACTCCACCGCCACTGGAAGCCTGCGTTCAGGTGACAGAGACACCGAGATCTGCCGCTCAAAGGTTCGTGTAGTATACAGCGCACAGTAAAGACATTGATTGACACGCACCGTCTCACAGAGAGGGAAGGCAACGAAAGGTGCCAACCACAAGAGAACGTAGTGGCTACCTTGTAAATATCGTCAAAGGAGTCGGTAGCGCTACAGAAACCAGCAAAAACACAGTCATTTCACTGTACGGGGATGGATTTCTTGAAATTCCACTAACGAAAGGGCCAAAACTGCTTGGTAGCTGTGGGTTTTCAATCAGTATGCTGTTATTCAAAGCTGATGACACACAAAAACACAAATCAAGAGTGTAAGAGTGTTTTTGTTTCGATATTCTGTGTTAGGGATCTAACGCACCAATGAACCATTTCGTAGTGACAAAGATGGAGTTCGACATACAGCACCAGAGCTGGACGACACTGGCGACTTTGTGCGGTGGCTTTGCTGTGGTAGCACAGACCGCAGTATCGTTGGCTGCTTAGCTGAAGGAAGTGTACTCGCCAACAAACCACGCGGTTTTTCAAGCGGCTTTCAAGGTTTGTAACAATGATATCGGTTATACTCTTGGGTAGTTCGACACTGACCTTATGCAACTACATGTAGAGCTTAACGAGTCGACACCGAGATTGTTGTCTGCTAAATTTCACGTCGAAGACGCTGACGACGACGAAGCTACGTTCTCAATTTATGACCGAGGTGTCCACTCGAATTACCGGGAGAAAGGAGAAGATGGAGGTATTCATGTTCGCTGGAAAGGATATGAGTGTTGGGCCAACAATCACGAGGTGCCAAGCAACCGCTGGGTCCATCTCAAAGTCACGTTTGACTGTCGATAACTCCAGATATTCTTCGACGATGAGCTGGTCGACTGTGCAAAAATTCAGCCTATCAAGGCCGTTGGTACAGCGATATCACGTGGAAGACGCACGAATGATAGCTCTGCGTGGGTCCAAACACCATCAAGCTCCAACTCGGTTTATGTAGGAGGCTACCCTTCTTCTTTCAAGCTATCAAGTAATCATCAGCTATCAGAAGAATTTCTCATATCATTATCGATTCCTGGAGTAGGTTGTGTGTGTGACAACTCGACGTTCGAGAACGTTGTAAATGCCCATCGGTGTTTTCTGGCGGTCAAATGCCCCTCCTATGTGGACACCCATTTCACAAATCAGCGGAACGTGTGGCGTGTCTAACAAGAGTCAGTCATGTTGCTGGCAAAATTCTTCGACGGTGCTCATTGTGACGTAGGAGTGCCAAACGCAAAATCATTCGAGAATCTCTTGCTGGCTGTCGTCCAGTCTGGCGATCTTCGTGTTGCGATTGACTATGCTGCAGACGTTAGTATCCAACGCAGTCACGACCACGTCTGTCGATCCCAAGCCGAGCAGAAAAGGAGTGCTTTTATTGCTGGTATCGAGCAAATGAGTCCTTTACTAGTTGTAGCAGTGAATTCTCGTTCACCTATTGGTTCTTTTGAGATCGCAATGGAACTTACATGTACAGATAGCAACCCCGTCGTCGTGGTGCTACACTCAATGAACGCTAGTGGATGTTTCCCAAAGTTGGAAGATGCCAAAAAGAAAATTGAGTCGATCGTGTTATTCGAGGCGAAGCGATCTCCAGAAGAAGAAATCCAGATTCAAGCATTCCGTCATTTACTCGCAGTAGCAAACCAAACACGTCACAACAGAGAGCGAAGTTTCATGGACTCAGTCATCAACCGCAAACTAGTTTTGACGGAACGAAAAGTGGCTGTCGTGTTCGAGAAAATCGGCTTCTTCTTCTCCTCCACAGAGTTGCAGGAGGTTGTGAGCTACCTGAAACGTGTCCAAGACAATTATTCTCGAGCGCATAATCATCGAATGGACGATCTGCCGAGTTTGTCGATGCTGACGCCAACGTCAACTGGACTTTTCACGCTGCCATTTATGAAAACGCTGCTGGTTTCCTCGACAATGATGAGCGATAACGGCGGACTTAATTCACCGTGGCGGTTCGTCTGTGTACTCGTTGACTACGATTTCCAACTCGTTGATTTCGTTCATGACGGCTGTCCTGTTACAAAACGAGGAGGCTTTTCGTACCGTAAAGGCCAGTCCATCTATAACTGTATCGTGGATCGATTATACCTTCGTCTCACGGCTTTATCGAACAAAGTATTCGCGTTCTGCTCTCTTTACAGAAAACTGCAGAAGACGTAAAGGAAGAAACAAGAGGCTCAAATTTTACGCGAACTTTGTCAAAAGTGCGTATCCAGCTGGAAAATATGGAAGAGTGTCAAATTTTGGGATTGCTTGACACGAAACCTCATGCAAACTGTCGATGGTTTACTCTGGCAGCGGTGTATCGGTCCGAGAAAAACAATCAATGGCAACTTCAGGCTATCGGAAGGTGTGGAAATGCCACGTCAATCTACGCTAGTATCGATGAGCTAAACGCTTTACTCGTGGAGATGAGAATGATCCAGACGTACGAAGTTCGAGTGTAATATATCGAAACGGGCAGTGAGAAGGCAACCCCAGCAACATTCGTCAAGACTGCGAAGAAATTGTTCATCGCCTGGCAAAGAACATTCGATTCGGTCGAAATGGCCGCATCGTGTTGGCTCCGATGGTGGGAAATGGTGACAAACCGAGCTTGCGAATAGCGCTAAAGTTGCAGGAAATGGAGAGTGAAATCGACGTGTACACACACCGCAACGTTGCCAACCGCACCTTACCGACGATTCAGTCGGTTTATCGCTCACTACTGCGTATTTTATCCCAACACGAAATCAAGGAATGTCTACAACAAAACTTCTTCGCTCCGCAGAATCGAAAAGTGAAGCGACATGTCGAACGTCGAGTCGTGAGTGCTCAAACAAATGTTCCTGTTGAAAATTTGCATGTTTTTATCGAAAGGAACGTCTCGCTGGGCTCGAATCTAGCGAAGACTGTGCTCCCGATGCTAATGATGGGGTCTCGGCTCATGTCCATTCGACGTCGCTTGCTAAAGAAACGTGTCACTGAGATCACACGAGGGGTAGCACAAGCTTTTGTCCCTGACTGTTTCGCTAATGCGCTAAAGCGAGTAACGATCGCCACGAGTTTGAATGTCAAATTGATATCTGTCGTTCGTGCGCGTGCACTTTTAAGGCGAGTTATGCGTCAACGATACGAGAGAATCAAAAACTGCATACTTGAATGTGCTCGGAAGAGGGAACAGGCTCGAGAATACTCCCAGAGCTTCCCGGTTCGACTGCAAAAGCTCTTTGCAAACTCGTTGGTATTGTCAATTTCTGAGCGTGATTTACTACAAAACTTAACGAGAGAAGAACTGGCAGAACTCGATCTTATGCTGCGTGGAGTGTCTGTACCATCTAAGGAGAAGACAGTACTGGACGAACGTCTCCTGCTTGAGGTATGGGCGAACAAGGCTTCGTTTACATCGGCAGATATTGCCGAAGATGATTTAAACAGTGAAAGACAAAAAGCAAATTCCTCGGATGGTGTGTGAACTCAAACCATGAAGAAACTTCGGATGAAATTATTACTCGTGACGGATAGCGACGGGCGAGCGAATTGTCGTCTCGTGCCGGGAAGTTATTCGCTGTACGTCTTCCATCTCGACTACTTCGAGTGAACGTCACTTGTTGCAGTGTACCCAACCATCTCAGCGTCAGGACTCGCTAGTGGTCCAGCGACAGCGACGTCGTCAGTGCAGGAGATCGTGATTCCGCTGGACGTGTATCGATGGACTTATTCTCTGCAACTTGTGGATTATTTCCATCCTCACGTCAACGTCAAACTTGCAGGCATCGCGCTCCAAATCACAAATAATTGCAGCTTAGAAAGACAAGTTGCTGTCACCGACGCCAATGGCTACGCCACTTGGGATGTCAGTAAAGGGTTGTACGCTGTCGCCGTGTTGCGTGAATGCAGTTGCGTTCTCTACTCCGCTTTAAAGCAAGTAGTTGTCGATGGTGGTTGCTATCGCACCTCAAGGACAATTGCCATGCCTGTGCTGCTCGGTGGCGTCAAAGTGACTGTGCTAGTAGTTGCTACTACCGACACAAGTTCCCATCTGACCAGCATTATATTCCACGCCATCGGAAGTGTTGCAATTGTTGCAGTGGATAAGCGACGCAATGCACGGATTCCAGTTAAAAATGACGCGGCAATAAAAGAAGAACCGAGTGAAGGCGACGTGTCTGTGGGGAACTCACGAACATTCAAGTTGCAACTTGGCACTTACCACTTGAGAGTCACATCGGATGATTATTTCCCAGTGTCAGTACCAGTAAAAGTCACGTGCGCGAGTAGTAAAAACTCAAGCGAGACATGGCAATCGATACCTCGCAGTATTAAGTCCAACGATCAGTACTGAGCGAACATTCCGCGTAGTTCTTTCCTGCGTGGATGAAGTGGAGAGTTTGGATCTAATTCTCGAGGTCTGGAAGGATAAAGCGATGAGTGGAAATGTATGGCGACAAAACTCGGATAATTGCATCGGACATGTGGAGCTCGAGACGATCAACAACCTCGACGGGTGTGAGTATCAGTCTCTGCTGCTCCAATGTCAACAAGGGTTGACGTACAAATGCATCGTAGCGTCGAGGCTTTCTATGACGCAGTGCTTACGCCCTCACGTGCAGATCTACTCGTCTGCGGGGTTAATTTACCAGTGCTCGGACCCGCCTTCGATCGGCGAGTTGTACTGGCACGTATGTTCCTGGGATACTAGCGGAATGTTGGTCTCCTGCGAGTCGGAAAGTCTAGTGCTTGGCTCCCAGTGATGCGAGAACTGGCTTACAGACTGAAGAAATGACGTCCAGACCTTCGCTTGCCGCGTTGTCCGAGAGCTGTAGAATGGTGGCATAGATCACATCCACGTCCACGGACTGGCGAAGAGTGTCCACACTCAGTAAAGCGTCCAGTAGCTCCAGAGTGACAACCACAAGATCCACGTCTTCTTCGTAAAGAGGCCAGCGAGCAAGCGGCTCGTGTAGCGTATGAGTGACTGTGTGCGGGTTGGCCATACAGAACGCCACCACGTGGAGCAGCAGCTTACGCTCTGCTCGGATTAATCCGCAAAGGATCATGAACGAGTGCACGTTCTCCGAAGACACGACCGGATCGAGCAAAAAGCCCATGAAATCGCTGATCCACGGGTGATTCTCCATCTAAATTCCAGTCAAAGCAATGCCATTTTAGGGACTGACAACCGTGTGGTTAAGGGAGACAGCAGTACGCACCTGGAAGTCGTCGCTTTCGGCGCATCCGACCAGTACCGTAGCCACAGCTTCGGTGCGAAGACGTAAGAACTTGCCCCACTGAGATCCGTCCAGCATCGAAGGCAGTAAAGGCAACACCAGTTCATTGGCCAGTGGATGAATGTCCTCGCGACATGCTGCAGCGATACGCGTGAGACCCGACACGATACGGTTCGCTGTGGACTTGGAGTACCGATCCAGTTGACTGATCGCCTGGCACAGCGTCACAACGGCAAGCTGACGACACGAAGCGTACTCGGTGTTGGCTTCCGGAACGGAAGACAAGCGTAGAACAGCCAATACATCACCGTACACTCGTGGGTCTGCAAGAGTGCCAGCGATGTTATGCAAGAAGTCCACTTGGCACGTAAGCAAGTTGGCAGCGTCTGGATGGTGCAGCCAAGAGAGGAAAGTCTCCACGAGTGTGTGTCGTATCGCAGAGCATGCTGCCTTTGCGCTACGTCGCTCAGCTGACTGCTTCTTGAATGACTTCAGCGCGGTCTGCAGTGAACACGAACACGCCTGTGAGATGTTGAATGCATCCATGTCTTTCGCTTACCTCAAGTCGAGGCATCACTGTTCTCATAGCCTGGAAAGCTCCTTCAAGCGTCGGAGTTGCAAGTTTGTGCTGGAACAAACAAACGTCCCGGATCGACTCGAGTAGCGCGTTGATAAAGTCAAAGTCGGGAAGTGCAGTCAGCTCGACATTGTTCAGTCTAAAATAAAATAATATTCAGCAAACCCAGCGCAACAAAATAAATCAAAATAGGGCACGTACGTGTGGGTCATCTCGTCAAGAGGCGTAGTAAGTGACGTTGCGCTGTTTGCCACCTTGTCGACCGCGGAGCCACTTGCAATTACCCGATACAGTACAGCCAAAGCCTGTGCGGCTACCACGCGTCGAGTGTCCACTTCCAGCCACGAGCAGAGAACTTTACAGCATTCCTCCTCCAGTTTCTTGACCACCGACACGGACGAAGCTTTCTCCTCTGCATCGTCCACGATCTCCGACTTGGGCTCAGCTGTCGGTTCGAACATCGCATTGGCAGCTGATAATTTCGACTCGTCCGCTTCCATCTCCTCGACAAATGCAGGGAGCGTTAGCAACGCGAACGTATTGAGTGGAGTGTACGGAAATTTGGCCGCCAGAAGCACGGCGACAGTCGTTGCCAGCTCCAGTTTAACTGCGTCCGCGACAGCTGTATCCTGGTTGTTGCCTTCTTGTATCAGAAGTTGCAAAAGTTGCAGCAACACGTCCGTAAAAATGGATTCTCGAGCCCCCACGTGTGTTTGCAATGCCACAGCTGCAAACTCGCACGAAGGACGCAACAGCGCATTCATTTTCTGCGCTGTCTCCTCTGCGCCGACATTGTCGTCCTTGAAAAGAGGGAACAACCATCTTAACTGCTTCAACACGTCAGTAATTGGCACGTGGTCACTGAAAGACTCGAGAACTCGCGTAGATCCCATCAATGCCACCGCTTTGAGGCCGTAGAAACACTTGTGCGTCCAGACAGGACACCGCAACACTTTGCTAAACGCATCACGGTATCTCTGCAACAATGGAATCATCGCTTGCCGTTCTGTCACATAGCGAATAGACTGCAAAAATTGGCAACAGATAAAATATTAGTTGCCACTTTTAGTCAGCGAAAATTTGCCGATTTTTATCCACTTTACCAGCGACGCGGCGGATAACAGCGTCCCCAGTTCCACTTCATCGTCGTGAACAAGCGGCTGGTGATTGGGTGGGGATGGCAAAAACTCGTTAATGGCGTCGTCGAGCTCCTCAATCACTTGCAACAGGAAGACAAAGGTGGCGTCCACACCAACCCTCGTGGAGTGCACGCACTCCTGCACATAGGCTGGCAAATACGGGAAATCAGAGACAGTTGAGCGTCGGTAGTGGCAAAAGGCAAACCATACCAGCGACGCCTCCTGATTGAGGGTCCAACAGGGCACGCGCCAGGTCGCGGCGGGTTGAAGACGTCTTAGGGCTCGTCGAAGTGTTCGTGGCCATCTCAAAAATGGCACGCAAGGCTGGCAAATACGGGAAATCAGAGACAGTTGAGCGTCGGTAGTGGCAAAAGGCAAACCATACCAGCGACGCCTCCTGATTGAGGGTCCAACAGGGCACGCGCCAGGTCGCGGCGGGTTGAAGACGTCTTAGGGCTCGTCGAAGTGTTCGTGGCCATCTCAAAAATGGCACGCAAATCATGATTTGGCGCCCGTTGGTTGGCTAAGCGGGAAAGCCACACAAGGTTCTTACAAATTTCAAGTGTTTCAGAATGACAAAATGGGTCAGCGTCTTCAACTTGTCTTGAGTAAAAGGGCTCTCTTATTTAATATTTGCTTAAAGTTTTTTTTTAATGAGACGGCAGAGAGTTGGCAACTGCATCAAGTTGATGCCATCAACGGGGTTTAGCTTACATTGCGGTCATCACCGCTTGATTTGGAGATGTTCCGCCTGCGTGCACTCTAGCGCCGGCAAGGTGTCGATGCGCGACGACGCCGAATGGCGTTCCTACAACACAACTACAACGTCACGACAGCTCTTGCTGCAACACAATGGGCTTGTAGCACCACAACGAGTGCCACAAGAAGCAACTCTAGAAGGGTCGATCGTAATCTATTCGTGATATATTTCAGAAACCTCGAAACTTACGATTCCACTTTGACAAAATTTGTGATAGAAGAAGGCACATTCTGCGACGATTCGATCGAAACAAACAGACTTGAGAGATAAATGAATCCAGACAACACAGATGCAGGCGCTTGTACCAGCACCGCTAGTGAAGATCTAACGCCCCTAGCGCCTCCATCCCCTCCTGCCACACGCCATAGCTACTCTCGAGCTCACAATTCGAGGTTGTGCAAAGAGCTACTACGCTCTAAACTCCGGCAAATTCAACGCATGGAAGAGAAGTTGCAGATGCTGACTCAACACTCGGAGAAGCTAATACAAGCTCGGGATGAGCTCGCCTCAATGCTCGCCGAAGAGAAAGGTGATGCAACACGCCTAGCAGTTGCAGTTGGGGCCGTCGCTTTGGACAGAGGCTACGTGATGTCATACAGTTTGATGCTGGAGGAGTGCTGCAATATAATGCTTGATAGGCACTAGTGAGTCAGCGTTAAAAGTGAAGCACGTTAATCTATTCGTTGTTATGCAAAACCAAACAGCTTTATTCTATTTCATTAGTGTTGCAAGCAGAGCTTTATCCGTAGCATTCACTATTCGATCGAGCTTGTTGGATCGAGTTGTCACTTCAGGCTGCGAAAGAATCATCCAAAGTATTCTGAGTCTCATGGCAGCAACATCATCACGTGTGACAGCAGTTCTGGAAAAGCTGAAGCTATCTCTCAGCATCGCATACGCCTGAGCAATGCACAACACACCGCACGACGTTCCGTCTGGTTGTTTTTGAGCGTCAAGCCATACTGCGCTTGATTCTAGCGGTGACTCGGTGAGCCGCATAGAGGAATTATGCCAGTTTCGCAGAAACGGTGCCACAGTAACTTCGTAAGTATCTTCCATCGCCGCCCGATACGAGCCGTTGCACAAAGGCTCATAGCAGTAGGGGGTGAAGGTGGGTGGATCTTGACGGTAGTTCATGCGCACCATGATTATTCCCCAGTGGTTGTTGTTCAAGGGAACGGGCATAACAGCGTAATGGTACATCGAAACACAAATATAATCAAACAATGAGTTCATGTACCTGTTGTACTTGGCCCGGGTTTCCGAGCTTCTAACCCGGTAACACAAGTAGTTCTTCGCAGCGTAATCCGCCAGTATGTCATTAAACTCACTCCAGTCTTTAAATGCTTTCTTCGGGAGCTCCGGCACATAATTTGACACTGATGTGTGGGATTTCTTCATGGTTTCCCGAATTTGCCAAGTTTTCGTTCGACGTGTAGGCTTGCGAGCTGTGTGGACTTGCGCAATTGGCTTGGGAACGGGATCTGTGCTTTTACGAGTCTTCTTAGCTGTCGGGTCTGTACTCATTTCTGGCTCGTCGATCTGGGAATGAACCCGTTTTTTTGTGTGCTTTCTTTCAGATCCCGAGCCTTTAACAATAAAGCAAAAATATTTGTAGCAACATATGAAGCAACACATAAGCAACATAGTCAGCAACATAGTCAGCAACATAACCAACAACATACGCAGCAACTTAACAAGCAACACAAATGTAGACGTACGCAAAGTGAGTTCCTGATTGGTTTCATTGAGGTTGACTTTGTGTAGTACGGTCCCGCCGGCGTCACGAATCGCAGTATTGGCATCCGCTGTGCCATTTTCGACAGTGATTTCCGTGGCACCATCGATTGCCTTAATGTGCCCCTGTCCAGATACCGGTTTCATGTCGTCTTCAGCAGCTGTATGACTGCTCGCAACCTCTTTCTCGGCCTCCTCTCGCGCAGCTTTCTCGGCCTCCTCTCGCGCAGCTTTCTCGGCCTCCTCTCGAGCAGCTTGCACAAAGCGTAGAATGGATGCCTCAAAACCTAGTAATTTAAACAGTGACAATTAGTATTTTCAGGTAACGTAACTGACTTGGCGTACCCGTCACATGTTGTTCGCCATCGCACTTCCTTTTGTCGTCGAAGTCCTCTCCATCGTTGACTTCCTTGGCATTGTCCGTATTGTCTTTGAGCCTGTCGATGCTGGTGTCTGCGTGACGTCCTTGATCGACGGTCCGAATAGTACTGGGGATATCTTCGAGATCATCGTCCCGTCCGTCAGCAGGATCGCGCTCCGGGTTATAATCCTCATCATTGTCATCGTCCACTGCAAAGCCTTGGACAGCAAACACGTAGTCGATGGGCTTACGCTCGCGTAGGGTAGCATTTGGCGCTTGTGTGCTCGTGTCGAACGGCCCAGAGGATGCATCTTGCGCTTAATGCAACGCAAAAACAAAAGAAACAAAGCGGGTAAGCAGACACGATACACTACGTCACATGGCAACAGCTTACCCGACGTGTCCTGCCCGGGCGCGCTTGCAGGCTTGGTTATCATTGGTCCAGGAGAAGAGTGCGTAGCTGCATCAGCAGCTAAACGTGACATCAGCGTTGTGTTGGTAAATCGATTTAGAAACTTAATACAAACGCGACTTACCAGGTGCGTCGATTCTCAGCGAGCTCGCGTGTGGTGGCTTCGACGGTCTCCCCTTCTTCTTCGTCACGTCCTTCCCTCCCTTAGCTCTCGTCGCTGAGCTTAAGGGGCGCGCGTTTGCCTGCCAACCCTTCTTCGCTGGTGTCATACTTGCTGGAGGCTGGTTTCTCGTGTCTGTATTCAAAATACAAAAATGGGAGGCTGGAAATGATTTGGGGGGATCGTACTTAAGTGCGAAAACTGGATCTTGCGAATTTTCAATTTAGTCGGAAATTTTCACAGTAAAGAAAACGTAGATAAATTACGTAGCAACACAACACTCGATTGTGTTGCTCTCAACCTGATGTCGTGACGTTGTAGCTGTGTTGTAGGAACGACTCCGGACGACGCCATTGGATTTGTCTTTCTTTTAGACTTCTAAAACGCGCCACCGAAGACCATCGAAGTAACATCGTCGGTCGATTGCAGATACGGTACCTTGAGCTCCAACCTGTACATGCAATCCAGGTTGGACGGCGTCGGACCAGGTGCCATCGCCGAGTTGTGCAAGTGTGCTATTTATTAGCCAGCGGTTTCGCTGCTGGACGAGGCGATGTTATGAATCCTGTAGCGCGCGTGCAATTGGACCTCGGCTGCGCTTCCCACCCGAGAGAACGACGCCGACAGCAGATATTTTTTTTCTCCAAAAACGCCGATGTCTAGAGCTGACATGCGAAAGCTGGCCCATGGAGCCAGCACAGTCTGTATTTGCAAGTCGCATACATGTACTTGGTCCACCGCTGAGCGGTGGACCTCGCAACCGATGAGTGCAATTGATGCGCTCTATTTTTCACGATAAATTCGAAGATGCGTCGAAGCCGTTTGCCTTGTCTGCTGCGGGCTTCTCGGAGAAGTTCTCCGGCTCACTTTCCCTCCAACTCCTGTCTGCTGGTGCTGAAAGCAAACTGATCGAGCGTTGCTGCAGCTGCTGGCTGGACGATGATCTGGCCCACGCATATACATGTTTAGAAGCTGTATCGTACGACCTCAGCTCGAACGGAATTCCAAGTCCGACGTTGACACTTTGACCTCACATCTACTGTACAGTAGTGACCAAAGCTATTGAAAGCTGATCCGCATTTTCGAATTCCCAAAGGTTGATACTAAATTGCTGTCAGCTTGCACTCAACATTACAGGAACAGTACACATTAGATGTTTTGTGCGACGCCGAAAACCATGGTCACATTGCGAATCAAGTCGGAGCTTAGGCTACACTACAGGTACCGGTAACAACTTACTCGGAAATGATGTTGGCTTATAGCCATTAAAGCAGTTACATGTACCAAATATACTTTTTACTACATTAAAAGCGCTGACTCAGTCACTTCTTTTGCCAAACGTTGATCTTCTTACGTCCCAACATTCTGACCTTCTCTTTTTCAAATCGGCGATGTAGCCAATTCGGCTGTGCAGAGAGCGGGCGTCAAATCAACAAAAAACAAGAATGACGGGAAAATGGATCATGTCTCGACGCAGCATCGATTCAAGAGGGGGACCAAACTCGTCGCCCACAACCGAATCAACCTCGTCGCAGTGAAACATGGCGTCCGGAGCCGTCGTGCAAGTTGAAGGAGAAGCTGCCGCCGAGCTTCATCCGCTAAGGATCCGTGTGTCCACGCCCGCGCCCTCCGGTCCAGACAGTTTAGACACCCCCGACGACAGCTCTACACGAGGCACCAAGCGCCGGCGTGAGGAGGCCGCGCTGTTCCTGGAGAAAACGTACGAACTCTTGGAGCGTTATCCACCTGACCTGGCCAGCTGGACGGCCAAGGGCGACAGCTTCGTTGTCAAGCAGCCCGCGGCGTTCGCGGAGCACGTGATCCCCACGTATTTTAAACACCGCAAGTTTAGTTCCTTCGTGCGGCAACTGAATCTCTATGGCTTCCGCAAGGTGCGTACCACATCAACGTCAACTGTGGAGGAGGCGGAGGAAGAGGACGCGAGTCCGAAGGATTGGTGGGAGTTCCGCCATGAACGCTTCGTACGAGGCCGCAGAGACCTGCTCTGTGAGATCCGGAGACGATCTCCTAGTGATGCAAGGACGTCCACGCCAGTGTCCGGGACTCCAGTGGAGCGTGTCGAGTTTGAAGAACTACGAGCCGAAGTGAGCGGTCTACGCGAGGAGATGCACAAGATGCAGAGAACCAATCAGCAACTCAATGGGTTGCTACAGAATCTGTTGCAGCGTTTTAGCGGATCTGAGAACGACGGTGGCAAAAGCGCAAACCGACAGGAGTTCACCCCGACTCCAGCTTTTACCAACTCGCCTTCTGTAGCTCAGAGTCAACCGAGATCTCTGCCGTCGATAGCATTGCCCAGTCCAACAGCTAGTGCCAGTCTAAGTGGTCCTCAACTAGCCTTACTTCAGCTCCGTCAGGGCCTGCAACATCAGGGTACACCACGGGAGATCTTGACACCTCGGACCCCTGCTTCGAGATCCTTTCACTTACGACCAGTGCAGTCGTTGATGGTTAAAGTGAGTCCAAGTAGTCGACCAGCTCCGAGTCCACGACCGAACCACAACTTCGTCGGCACTCCTTCATACAGTCAACAACAGGAACAACTCAACAGAAGCCGATGGTACCAAACCAAACCACTTGCTCAGCCATCTCCGACTGCAAGTCGCTCGCCAGTGAAGCGTCTTCGCGTAGACTCAGCTATCTCTGTGTCGGACTCTCAAGTAGGCTTCGGTCTCCGCTCTCCAGAGGACGCAGCAGTGCGTGAACTAAGTCGAATTGCCTCGGAGATTCGCTCCGAGTTGCTAGCTTGTATCACTGCCCGTGTCACCGGTTTCCTGCGTGTCCACCGCGAGCAGACCGAGCCAACACGTGACGCTGATGCTGACGCTGTGGGCGAAGCTGTGGGCTCGGATATCCGTCACCAACTCGCTCTACTACAGCCATCGACTAGCACAACAGACCCGAAGCTCTTAGATGCCGAGACAACGTGCATGTATCGCGTGGAGATTCTCAAATATATCTCCCGTGAGCTGCCACGTGCTGTCCAGGATGCAGTTGACAAGCGACTGCCGGCACCGGAGAAGCTCAAGCAACGGCCGGCAAAAGACCGGTCGCTACTTGCACTGCTAGTGCAGAAGGCTCAGAAAGCTCTGGAGCGACAGATGCACACGGAGACTGCCGCAGTAAGTACAGGACGTCGCTGAAAGAGGTTTTAATATTTTGATTAAAGTTTTGAGGATGTACTGTACTTGTTAGAATAGTAGTTGGGAGAGCGACGTGTCGTCTTGTAGAGCTCGGGAGACTTCAGACTTTGCCACGCACGACGAGAGCTTTGTCGTCCAAAATGTGCGAACGGACATGGCTGCAGCGGGACGAGAGGCTTTGTTGCCGTTCTTGTTGCCTCCTTGTTTCACGAGTGCGTAGCAGTCGAGTGACATCAGATGTGTCTGCAGTTCTTCGCGCGACAAGCGAGGGATCCAGGTAGTTTGAGGCTGGCTACGTAGACGTCCGAGTTCTTCGCTGACCTGGTTCATATCGCACTGCTGCAATGTCTTGACGCCGCTGTTGTCAGTGCTACCAGGGGCGAGCGCTGTGATCACGTAGAGTAGCACTTTGGCTTGTCTTGGTAGCTGCTTGATTTGCTGGACAATCGGAGACGACAACATCGACGTCACGCACTGGAACACGTCACGCATCATGACCTTCGCTACAATTGGCGCCTTCTCGATGTTGCTAGAGCGTTGAAGCGCATGACGAGCTGATTGCTGGAGTAAACTGATGGCAAGACGAGCGTCACCGTCACGAGCTGCCACTTTTCTGGCGACAAGTTCAAGTGCACGGGGCTCAATGAGCTTGTACGCTTCAGTACCATCCACGCTTAATGGCAGTGCGCTCTGCACGTAGCTCTGCATGATCAGCAATAGATCTTGGTGCGTGTAGGAGCCGAAAACAACTCGAGGGACGTGCGAGTCGGTAGAATTCTCACTAGTCACATGAACACGCGAGACTTGCTCGTACATGTCGACACCGTTCATGATGCCCAAGAACTTGACGTTATGAGGTGATGCAGCAGCCCATTGCACGAAAAAATGGAGCACTTCCTTGACTGTCGGCTGCATTCGCACGGGAAGACGCAGCAGCTGATCCACTTCGTCCAGCACGACAACAATCGAGTATTTCTTCGCTTTCGATCCGTCATGTTGCATCGCTATGAACCTGTTCATCTCCAATGGATCCAGTCGTTCGGGCACTTTCCAGCTTGTTGCATTTTTCACCTGTTGCATCACTGCGGCGAACAAAACTGCGGGGTCTGTGAACGTGCTGCAGTTCAGTTTTACAGAGATCTTGTTGCTCTTCACAGCTCGCTTCCGCTTCAATGTTGTAGTTTCTGCTGATTCGTAGCCCTGTTGTATCAGTAGTTCATTCACTGACGAACTCTTGCCAGTTCCTGGGGGACCAATGATGAAGAGACTTCCACCTTCCTTTGCATCGCCTTTCAAGACGTCACGGACGATCTGGTGCTCCTTGGCACGCCCGACAATTGGCCGTTTTTTGCATAGCACCTGACCGGAGCAGATACGCTGTAGCACTGCATTGGGGTTCTCAATGGGCTTTGAAATTACAGGCTCCGGGTATTGAAGAGTCCTGCATGGAATCACGCGCTGGACGCCACTCGATTTGGTTTCTGTGGGCTTCTCCGTGGTCTTGTGGATGCTCAACGTGGGGGTACGTGGTTTAGGGAGGTGCGGGGTCAGCAGCAAGGGGGACGCGGAGATATCGTCGGTCTTAAGCTTCTTCGATGCCGGCGGACTCAATGGCGCAGAGGAGGACGCAGCCTCAAGCGCGCGGAGACGGCTTTGCAACTGCTGCGCCAGTTCTGACATGTTTTGACGCTTCTGGGCTCGCGTACGCATTGTAAGTGGGGGGGGGGCGCACGGTACACTAAGACACGGACAACACGACGACACAGAATATACTTCCGTTCTGGGACGCAAATTCGATTGTGAACGTGGTGATCGAATGGCGCCAAGTGCAAAATGGCGCGAAATTGGTTTTGGCGAATAGGAATGAAGCATTTTTCTGCTTTTAATATTTTGGACAAATGAGAGGGAGAGGGTAGTTAACGATCTTGAACAACGCATAAGTGTGGAGCATGACGGCAAAACGCAACCAGGTAAAGTAGATTTTACATGTATTCTCATAAGTTACGATGTTCTGAGCTCGAACTGGTGGTGATGTCGATCCGGCCAGAATTTCAGCACGTTTCGTCTTCACCTCTATCGTCCTCTGTGGTGACAACAAGTTTTATCGTCTCAGCAGAGGTCAGCAGTTTAAGTCGCTCGATGCGCGACGTCAGCAGCGGGTGTGAAGTGTCGCCTAAGTAATTGCCTTTGTCAGTGATCATTCGTGTCTTAAGCACTGAACGCATCTCGCAGTTGCGAGACAGTTTCCGCTCGAAGCAATTGATGCCGCCTCGTGCAAAGCCACTCTCGGCTGCCACCTGATCGGCTTCGTGCTCCAGACTCCAGGACAAGTACAAGTTGCCACCAACGATACCCAGCACGCCAATGATTCCCGCAACGAGTTTGTTCGGGATCTTGTGGATGGCAACGCAGCTACCCACCAGCGATGCCGGAAGGAAGGCACCCGTGAACATGGAGTGGTTCTTGGCAATGTGAGCACTTTCGTGTGCTAGAACGAAGTCAATCTCGTCGCGCTTGGGAATGTCGTACTTTGCATGCAGATGTGCCGGCGCATAGAAAGCGTCGTACAGCTCCATGGGCAGCACGATGCATGCTCCACGCTGGCCAACAGTGAGGTTGGCTCCCATGGAGGCACCGGCGGACTGCTCGCCTACGCGGATGGAGATTCGTTCCGGGTTCTTTACGCCCACACGGGCTGCGATTTCCCGCACATTGATGGCAAACGGGTCGTTGCGGTCGAGTTCATGGGCGTCGAGACCTTGTGCCAGTCGAAGCGAGTGTGTACTAGTGGGCTCTGCAATCGGGTACGACGCGTATCCGTACAGCAGTAGCGCCGACGCGCCGATGAATCGCTTTGAGTATAGCGCTGTCGACATGAGTTTGATCGCCGCTCTGGTAGCCAATTTCCAAATGGGCTCAGTGGCATCGTCAGGAACTTGGGGTGGTATCCGCATGGCGATCGTATTGCAGTGCGTTTTTTTCGGGGGTCACCTTCGTTTGTCTTTGCTTCACGTTAAATGACAGTAGTTCAGTATGCTGCTCGCCTTTGCTGCCGTCGATTTGCTGTTTCGTGTCTCGAGCGCCCGGGTCTTCAACTCGGCAGAAATCCTTGCTCGCCGAGATGCTTGTCACAACGTCAACCCGTAGGTTGTCTGCAAGTTGTAGGTGCCGCTGCAAATAACCCCGTGGGGTTCCTGTGGAGGTTTGGAAATTTCAATTTGGCCATGCGCGACGTTCCATGACGCTCGTCGTCCAGTTGATGGTGCGTCGACATGTACCGGTAATTGCATTGGCCTGAAACGGCCGGCTTTCCTACTGGTGGAAAAACAGTTTGCTCGCTGGGATTGGCTGTAAAACCACAGGACATCTCGGTGGTCGAGACTGCAGTTTCTCCACGATAAGTAATTATGTCATCCTCCTCGCTTTGTGGGTCTGCTGCACAAGAGGATTCTCAACGATAACTTTGCCACCCTAGTTGTGCTACAGTAGGGAGTAGATAGACACACCCACAATGAAGCCTTCACTTTCTGCATACGCTTGACAAGAATTCCAAGTGGTTCCACGACTTCGAACGTCGTTTGCCCACGGCTACATTTATCTCCATCTCCTAGACACCTACGGCCGCTGCTTTCCTACATACCGAAAGTCCTGCTTACCATTTTTGCAGAACGGACAGTGCTTGTTCGGTTCATAATCGGGGGAGTGTTGATCTTCTTCGGTCAGCGGACTGCGGCACGTAAAACAGGATTCTACCGCCGCCTCGGTGAGGTCTGGCTTGAGCGCCACACGGTCGTCGAAGATGTAGCAGTCGCCCTTGTAGTGTGCGCCGCCCACTTTCTCAAAGTATTTGAGAATACCACCATCCAGTTGATACACCTCCTTGTGACCGTCGTTCAGCAAAGCATACGACGCTTTTTCGCATCGAACACCACCAGTGCAAAACATTACAATCGGTTTCTCCTTGGGAACCTGTTGTAGCTGCGCCCGTGCTTCCTCTGGAAACGCGCGGAAGCTTTTGATATTCAGGTCTACTGCTTTCTCAAACGTACCCAGTCTCACTTCGTAATCATTCCTAGAATGTTGTAAACACCGATGTCAGCCCTCAGCATAACAATCTAATATCTCGCCACCGTACCTCGTGTCCAATACTACCATATCCTTGCCATCATCCATCCACGTCTTGAACTCTTCAGCGGAAACGTGTGCTGCCAGTCCGTCCACTGCTGGGTTTACTTCGTTCATTCCCATCGAGATCACCTCCTTCTTGACCTTCACCAGCATCCTCGGTAGCGTCATGCGATCGGAGTACGAATCTTTAAACTCCAAGCCACGGATTTCCGAGTGAATGCTAGCAATTGTGTCCTTCATGGCCTCCACAGCTTCTGGTGTCCCCGATAGCCGAATGTTCACTCCTTCAGTCGACAACAAAATGGTCCCACGAAGTCGGTCCTCACCGAACTGCGCTGCCTTCAGCAGCAGTTGCTGCTTGAGCTCGGGCAATCGTTTCGCATCAAACACGCAGAACCCATAGGCCGACGAGTTCACGAACGACGCCTTGTATGGTTCGGCCATGGCTTAGCTGCAGCCTTGTATTTGAGCTGCTTTATTTAAAAAAAAAAAAAAGCCAATAGCCTCCCCAATAAAAGCCTCTTCCGGTGTCAAGGATACCGTTTATTAATAAACCGTTCTCCCTTTAAAATACCGGTATATAAAAGAGTACCTCACAGGATACTCACCAACTCCAAAGTAAGTATCAATGTAGGTAGACAAAGGACTCTTTATAATGGGACCCCGCGAGTGGATGGAGACGCCAAGCGTCGTGTTGGACGAGAAGCGTTTGCAGCGCAACATCGAGCGGATGCAAGCGTTGGCGACGGCAAACAATGTGAACCTTCGCCCCCATGCAAGACTCGAGAAATCGCAGCCATGCAGTTGGCCTCTGGAGCTTGCGGTCTCACCGTTTCGAAGCCATCCGAAGCGCTGAAATTCCTGCACGGTGACGTTCCAGGTCTCAAGAGCTTAACTCTAGCGTATCCAGTGGTACAGTCCAACAAGGTGCAAGAGGTTCTCAAGGCGGCGCAGGCAACTGGTGTGGAGTTCTTGCTGACTGTGGACAGCTCGGAAGGGGTTGATGCTGCGCAGAAGGCAGCTGAAGCCTGTGGCTGTACGTTGAACCTGCTGATCCATGTTGATGTGGGTTACCATCGCGTGGGTGTTGAAGAGAATGATCCAAAGCTGCTGCAACTGGCGCAACGCATTGACAAGACGAGTAGTCTGGAGTTTCGCGGGCTCTTGTCTCATGCAGGGCATGTCTACCGTTGCAAATCGGTCGCGGATTGCTCCGAAGTAGCAGAGACGGAAAGGCAGATTATGGTTCGCATTAAGGACAAGCTGGAGGCGAACGGAATCGCTGTTCGGGTCGTATCTGTGGGCAGCACTCTGACGGAGCCTGCACGCAAGAGCTTTGCCGGAATCACGGATATTCGTCCTGGAAACTACGTCTTCTTGGACCGCACTCCCGTGCGCATGGGGCTGTTTTCGGTGCAAGATGTGGCGTTGACTGTTCTGGCCACAGTCGTGAGCTCGAACCAGTACAATTTTATTGTCGACGCTGGGTCGAAAGTGCTGAGCTCGGACGGAGCTCGATCGGCTGGTGAGTTCGGCTCGTCGTGCTTCGGACTCGCCTTTTACGAAAAGGATTTTGGGCGTGTGGTCAAGGAGCCAATTCAGAACAAGACTGTCCTTGACGACGGCGAAGAGCTCATCTGTTTCGAAGTGACGAGCCTTTCGGAGGAGCACGGGTGGGTGAAGAAGATCGACGGTATCCCGTCTCCTGGAATTGGTGAGCGCCTCGTCATTATTCCCAACCACTCCTGTGTGGTGTCCAACCTCACCAACAAGTTTTACGTCCAAGGCGAGCAGCCAAAGAGCTGGACGCTGTTGTCTCGTGGGTGCACACAGTAAAGTAGATTTCCTTTGAAGTGGGCTAAGAAGTCAGATCTCATCGACAGATCTCTACAACCGTACCTGTTCTTTAAAGGCAGGTCGCAGTAAAAAGCCGCTAGAACCATTGCAACTGAAGGTTTTGAACGAATTTGCGGTTCGAATGCTCTTCCATGCGCTGCAGCAACTCCTCCGTCGTTTGTGGGAGTTTACTATTCGCACCGCCATCTTTAGCTCGAAAATTCGCCAGCATCTGAGCTGTTGCCGCCTCAATTACTTGTAATTCTTTCTGGTGTGTCGCCATGTAGTGGTCGAACGCTTCGGATTGTACATGAGATTCGTGTAGTGACTGTATCCACTCGTCCCTAAAGGCAAGCTTCATAAGATGTCTACGAAACGAAGATCGCAATACTTTGGAGACCATGGCCCTGATCGCTGCGTTCCCCGCGTCTGATACTTCCTGATTTCTAGCAATACTTTTATAGTAAGCAGCACTTTCAGCTTTGGCGTTTGGTGGTACATCCACGTCGTAAGAGCATATCTCGGCTTGGTCGCTGGCATCACGCGGTGAAGCATTTGTTGCGATGAGAACAATACCAACTCACCGAAGCGTGGCTGAACTACGACACGTGATTTAGGAAACGGATAGAGCACAATTTCTCCTCCATCTTCTGGTTTCCACTCTTCATTCAAGTAAAGCACTGCGGTGACACATTTGCCGTCGCCCCCGTAAGTGTCGAAGTGCATGGGGAAACATCCTCGTCCAGCGTTGTGCTGCACCTTCACCATGTGACCAGCCAGTCCCAACCAACCCGGCAACGCTTGATGTAGCGAGCCAAACACCACTTGCTGCTCGAAGAAATCCCTCAAAAATGGCACGGACGACTGGTCTCGAATGGCATCCAGTGCAAGCTCCGTCTCGAAAATGTCGTGCTTTTCCAGCAGCAATGTATTGGCTGCTAGCTTATTCCCATTGTCCGCGTCATTCAATAGAATGTGTGTTGAATTTGGATACAATTGGTCACTCGTATGCAACAGATTCATCTCATCGCGAAGGTGGCGGAGATACTCGACTGGGAAGGCGTCGCGGACCACGTAGTAGCCATCTCCAAGTAGGCCACTAACCAAATCGGACGTCACTGACACTTCCCAATTCGTGTTGACACGGTTTTGAGCTGGTGCCGGCGATTGCAACGATGAAAACGGCGAGTTGCGGAGACGCGGGAGCAACCGCCGTGACACGCTAAGCATTTCTGTGGTTGTGTTTGGTGGCATAATAATAACCGATTTAATTTAATATATTAAAGAAATAAAATATAATGCAATTATCGGAAAAATTACCGTATTGATTTAATAAATTCTTAAATTTTAAATGTAGCACACCTACGAGTTTTCTTACAATCATTCGCGCCCGGAGGAACTACGGTACATGTAGTACATTTTATTACTTTCGAAGCAATATTGTTTATCCTGCCGTAAGCTGGTGTCAAGCAGCGTCGCTGCTTCGCTTCCCTTATCAATTGACCTCACTTTAAATATGGAGCTGCGTGTGCAGCGAACGACCCATACTTCCCTACATTTCTTGAAATTTCAGGAAGGGCTAATTTCGCTTAAAAGGGGTCACCCGTATCCCGATACGAACCCGTTCGATGAAAGCGACAGACTCTCTTCTGGGCCGCCACAGCCTCGGAGTATCCCGACTCGAGGAGAAGATACGCCTGTACTGTAATAGGTCTCCTCCTTTGATGTCGAATGTCAGGCAAAAGTGAGCTTTCTGATAAACTTGACAAATACGCGATTGAAAATGTTTAAGTGGGGTTTGGTATGGGGAGTTGATGATTTTTAAGTCGGAAAATAATACCGCTGCTATCGCGACTTGCAATTCGCGAGCGAGAGCCAGCTTTGTCCACTTCAACGCTCAACGAGCGCGTGTTGGCGACGTCGAAGGAGCGCATATCCGGCGATCGGTATTGTTATAATATCTCTTTTCATGCATCGAGATGATGGCCACCACTCTGGCACTGTCGCCAGCAGTTTGATGGCGAGCGTCGATGTTGGCCGGTTCACGTAGAAGTAGGGGAATCAACGGGTCCATTGCTATGTGATGACCACCATTTAGCAGTTGAGGAGAATGAGAAGATCTTGATCATTGCAATTGCATGCACTACTGTACCGGTAACAGCGTGTGTACCGCGAAAAGAAAGGGCGCTTGAGGAAGTTGCCTTTACAACATATTGAAATATCAGTTAAATGATTGGCCAAAATCCAATCTCTTTTTCACCCAATCGAGATATTTTCTTCCGTTCCATTGGTCGAAACCTCGTCACCCTCGTTTTTGACTTTGAGAGACGGAAAATTCCAAGTCGCCGACTACCTGGTATCAAACCGAAGACGTCCTCCAGGGCGCAGACAACGTCGCTGTCCCCCCCCCCACCCCAACACACACACTAGCGTCTCAATCTCCGTATGGCGCACGACCGCGCAGCCGCTGTGACTGCATCCACAGCGCGCTCGGGGCCGCCGCTGCTTGTGGCGCGTAACTTGCTACCCTCGTCCGCCAGCAGCAGCAGCGTCAGCGCCAGTACCACAAGCGTCATGAGCTCATCCTCGTCCTCCTCAGTCGCCACTATGGGGGCACGGAGTGCCAGAAAGACGAGACCGCAAGTATGTGGGGGACGCCACCGTCACATCGACGTCATCCTCCACGCTGTCCACTGCGTCCTCAGTGGACGTTTCGTCCACCGCCACAACTGAAGCGGCCCGACGCGCGCGACGTCATACGCACCACAGCCAGCCAGACCACGATCCGAAACGTGACAGACGACGAGGAGCATCCTCACCGCATCGTCACCATAGTAACAGCCAGCACAGACGTCCACGGTCGAGAGACGCCGGTCCGGGAGACTCTATGGTATCAGATGCCAATGCCGACATTGGTCCGGAGAAATTTGCATCTAAAGTGCTTGCTAGGACGCATACAAAGAGTGTGGCGTCAATGGAGTCACCACCAGCATCACCTGATCATTATTCTTCCTCGTCATCGGGCGGACAGGGAAGTGACAAGGAGGAGATGGTCGGACAGGCGGATAAACAGAGGCAGCAGGTAGCAATGAAACCTTCGAGGATGGTCGTTAAACGACGAGCTACAGCTCCTGCCAGCAGTAATAGTGCACATCGACCGTCGACAGGACCTACACCCGTGCCATCGTCACCTGCTCGTCAGCCTTCGAGGAGTGTGGGGAAGCCAGGAACAACAAATAGCCCACGTGTTGGAGCCGGTAGTCCGCCAGTTGGAGCAGCCAGTCCCGGACGCTCTACTAGCAGCTTGGAGAGGTGGCAAATTCGACTGCAACGAACCGCTTCAGGTAATTCTAGCGGCACAGATGACGAACGTCACGGACGAGAGCCTTCATCCTCTAGAGGGTTATATAGTAATCACCGTAGTCGTCAACTCATGGAGAGTCCACCACCGCCAGACCAGGCAGCAGCTACTAGCCGAACACGTGGAAGTGACTCCCCGTCTGTCGATCAAGCGAGAACGCGAGCAAGAAGCACGTCAAGAGGCTCGAGACAGGCGTCACCAGGTGGAAGTGGAGGGCTACCGCCGCCCCCACCTCCATTATCACTTTCAACAGACGGACAGGGCTCCACTACTCCTCGGACGTTGGCTCGAAAAGTCCCACAGTTTGACGATGATGCTACAGAAGAAGGAGATGATGACTCTACGCCGAAAACTCGACCTGTTCGTATTCGTTACGAGACTCCGGAGCGTGGTATGGGCGGCAAACGCGAGATTTCTCACGCTTCGCTCGGTAAACTCATCGCGCGACTCACAGATGCTCATCAGTATGATACAGAGTTCCGTGACGTGTTCCTGCTGACGTATCGCTCGTTCTGCTCCCCTTACGACTTTATCAAAAAGCTGTTGAAGCGATACACTGCGGTATTGTCACTTTGTGGGATTGTTGATCCAAAGACGATTGAAGAAACGCAGCGATTACTGGACCAAATCACTCTGGAAGAAGAGAACGAGCAACGTTCGTCAAACTTGACGTCAATTTCTACTGCAAAGTCTGATATCAACAGTGGAATGGAGGCCAACGTGTCGATCATGCGTCTACTTAGTGTACTCAAATTCTGGATCAAGGAGAGTGGCTTTATTGACCAAGACCTCATGAATGATCGGAAAGCGCAGAAGAAACTTATGGCATTCTTGAGTGAAATTCAGAACACGTCGCCCATCCCATCGATTCGTCGACACGCTGAGAATTTGCTGCGGACAGTGGCCCAGTTGCTCTCAGTGCAGAAGCAAGCGCAACAAGCTCAAGCTCAAGCGCAGACGAAAGCTCAATCGCAAAGAGGACCTGCTAAAGTTCCTCCTCCCCCCGCACTCGTGACCTCTTCATCGACGTCAGCTGTACCGGATTTTTCGAGACCAGGTGGTGACGTCGTTCAAGACCCTCAAAGCGCTGTAGCTCTAGCCATGGCACACCAGCTGAGTGACCGCGGAGCGTCACATGTGCGGATGCGCGCCCAAGCAGCCACGAAACTGTCTTTACCACGATCCTCTTCAGACCCCAAACGTGAACGATCCATGGTTAAACTTCGCACGAAGAACTCGAATGGTGACATTTTCCAGCTCCGCAGTCGGTCGATTCCTACCGGAGCAGATGATCAAGCCGTAGCAGCGGCAGCGACGAGAGATCGGATGCTACGCAATGGCGCGCAACACGTTGCTGTGCCTAGTGCTGCTGCTGTGGCTCCAAAAATCGCGCGAGGAATCACCACTGGTAGTGCTGAGGCTGCCATCAAAGCTAATGCCAATGACACTGGCGCAGGAGGCTTCGATGAGATTATCCAGGATACATTGCAACGTGCACGACTCACAGCGGCATCTCGCAAGAGTGCGCGGATCAGCTATGACAACGTGGAGCCTTTGTCTGGACTTTCAGCGCAGGAGCTGGCTGACCAACTTACGCTCATGGAGGCTGACCAATACTTCTCCAAGTTGAACCCGCGTGAGCTGACTAACAAGGCGTGGACACGGGAGAATAAACACCGAGAGGCTCCGCATGTCATGGCGTTGATCGAGCTCTTCGATGCGACTGCGGAGTGGGTGTCTAGTGAGATTCTGCACCCGCAACTACAGGCTGTGGAACGTGCCAAGATGATCACGCTGTTCATTGATGCAGCGGATAATTGCTACCAGATGAACAACTTCAACACGCTCTTTGAGATCACGACAGGACTCTCAGCGCCGTGTATCCGACAGCTGAACACAACGTGGAGTCTGGTGACTGCAGCAGCGCTGGAGAAGTACCAGTGTCTCCAGCAGGTATGCTCGCCCGATGACAACTACCGCAGTTACCGTCAAGCGTTTGCATTGGCGGAAGGACAGCCGCGTCTGTCATGTTGGTTCATCCTAGTCAAGGATTTGTTTACGTATGAGGAGGCGATGAAGTCAATGGAAGACGGACTGGTGAACTGGCAGAAGTTCCGTCGAATCTACCGAGTTATCAGCGAGTCCTTGGACCGACAGAATTTCAATTATGTGCCACCTAATGCTGGGACAAGTGCTGGAAGCAACGGTGCTAGTACGGGTGGAGTATCGAGAAAGGGGCGAGGTATTTTACGGCACGACAGGAAGAACCAGATCCACATTCGGCATCGGATCGACACGTACGTTGCCTGTGGATGCTTGTTGGGTATTGTTGTTGGCAGATCGACCTGACGTTGTTGTGTTTTTTGTGTGACGATGTGTAGTATCAGGAAAGACAGCTCGGTGCTGTATCTGCTGGCACGCAACGCCAACACACAAGAGAGTATTCTGTTCGTAAACAGTCTGTCGGAAGCGGGTTTCCTGTAAGAAGACGAGAACACGAAGGAAGCCACGTCGATCCTGCCTTTCATAGTGTACAAAATGTTAGCCAAAGGCTGCGACGACTGGAGTCAGCCCTTTGAACGGAATGCAGAAAAAAGCAAATAAATCGTTGTGGAACCTCTGGCGATGCGCGTTGGACGGAGACCTGGATATGCAGTGTACAAGTATCGTACAAGAGGAGTGTGGCCTCCAGTTCAGCTCAGTCTGTGCTGGAGCTGTAATCGTCCGCCTCCCCTTTGTCTTTGACCTGTGCGTCTGTTGCTCTTGCGTCGGCTTCTGATTTGCCTTTCTTCTCACCCTGTTGCTCTTCATCCGATGAAAGCTTTCGTTTCGCACCAGCCTCGTGCTTCTCCGTCTCCTTGTCGTGCTCTTTGGTATCCGTCTTGGCGTTCTCTTCCTCTTCAGTAGTGCCAGTCGGGAGTCTTGCACTGTCCAACAGGGCCTTGACTGAGATCCCCACACGAGCGTCACCCTCGTCCAGGTTCATCTCCGCTTGACAAAGGCGCCACTTGTACAGCTCGTCCAAGAAGTCATCTCGGTCCAGATCTTTTGCTCCCAGCCCCATTTTATAGTCCATGGACATGCCCAGATCCCACATTTTGAAGCCTGCCAGATACAAAAACTTACTCAGCGCATGCAGCTGCACTGTGCCTGCTCCATTAGCCCGACTAAAGCCTGTCAGACTTGTGTAGACACTGCCCACAGTGTATCCGAGCTCTCCTGCGACTAGCGTGTCCGTGGTCGTGTCATAAAGCTCAACCGTGAAGAAGCGGACCTTACAGCCAGGATAGAGCTCTACACCGTCGTTTCCAGCTTGAAATAAAGTCTTGAAGCTCTCGACAATAGGCGGATATAGCCACGGAATGCCGTGCTTCTCGTGGCAGCCCTCCACGACGCCGTTAAAATCGCGATTAAGTACGAACTTGAACTTCTTGGCACGCTTACGCACGATTTTAGGGACGTGCTCGGGTGCGTTGGCCTTGATAAGCAGCACACAACGCTGACGGTGCAGTTTGGGCAGTAGGAAGCATTTGTCCTGGAACTCCGAAGCAATGGGTAGGAAACCCTCGTACATGAGGTGGCTCAACAACAACGGGTCAAAGTGACGAGA